CCGCCCCCCAGGACCCCCCTAGCTACGCCCATGGTGAAGAGCTTTGAAATTGTAAGGAACTGTGGCAATTATGCGTTGCAGGGACCCAGAGAGCGATGAGAAAGCAGCTGTCATGTATTTATGAAAAAAGAGGTTCGTATTTTCCGAAAAGTCGCAGAATTCTCAGCTCATATACTTCAGTTTTTTTTTTACTGTTTCTTTCCCCCGTAATTTGTGCGTCTCTATACTGCTTTCATATAACGATATGAAATGCATTTTTTGCAGGTGTATATGAGAAAGATCAGGCAGCAAAGTACGAGTATATCCACAAAGTGAAACTGATCGGTTGGGGAAAGGAGAACGGAACCGCTTACTGGCTTGGAGTCAACTCATTTGGTAAGGAATGGGGTTTGAAAGGACTCTTCAAGATCCCCTGCGGTCGTAACTACCTCTTCATAGAGACGCTCTGCCTCTCTATTATCCCTCGCCTATAAAAAAACATTGACAACAACAACAGCAATATCAACAAGACCAAGAACAATAGCAGCACCACCACCACCACCACCACCACCACCACCAACAACAACAACAACAACAACAAACAGCAGCAGCAGAAGCAGTAACTTGAATAGCTCACTACGTTTGTCTCTTTATGTACTTGCTAGTCTACTTCAAAAATAAAATAAAGTCTTATTTATTTATCTATCCATTTATGTATTTGTTAATGCATCTTTGCTTGTACACATCAGTTGCAGACCGATCGGCAAATCAGCAGCCTAATTCTGTAAGTATTGCCAAAAGAGGGGTCTGATTATAATGAGTCACCGATTCTGTCCGGCGTTTAACCTCCTAAGCAATGTCTTTATAACGGATGCCCAAGGGGCACGCGACAAGATTACGGTAATTTATTATAGCTTTAAGGTTCCTCAATTAAATTCGGATACGCGTTGATATGATTGCTCTTTTTGGCGCAAGTTAAGGAATCATCAGGCAGGAGTCATTACAGTGGGCCGAGCAAAAAAGTATCGGAATCGCTTGCGGCTAGAGGGGATATTTTTTTGAGGAAAAATAAATTATGAGCATTCGTCCAAATCACATAAAAACTGTTTTACTTCTCTGCGGTTCCGGATGGAGCATTTTCATTTTTACGTCAATTTTACCTTGTAATTTTTCATAAACGGAATATTCACGTGATGGCTAATAAAGATACTTCAATTCAACACAAAAAAGAGACGATTCCCCGAGGTTCCAAAATTAATTAGAATAATCAAGGATTCAATTCGCTTAAAATTGCAAGTTCTCGGTGTATGTTGATTTTCTCAACCGGTTTCGCTTACTATAAAAACGCAAAGCAGGGTCTGCGGGGGCGCCCGTTACGCCACTGAAGCATTCCAGAGTTTTTAAAACATTTAAAAAAATAACATTTTAAAGTTCCATAAGTGTTTCCATCAATTCCGCAGCGCAGAAGCAAAACCGCAATACGGCTTGGATGAAAAAAATTGAGCAGCGAATGATCTAAAAGGCTAGAAAGTATTGGAATATTGATTTATCCTAAAAGCATTTTAAATCTATTACCACCCGGAATGCAAAAAGGGCACCGTAGACACACCAAAAGTTTCACTTACTCTGATTGAATTTCCTCCCAAATTTTTGCTCGATATAATTTTGAATCTAAACACTCATATTTAATAGCAATCATTATAAATAGTCTAATCATTATCAACGTTCATAATGTATTAAGATCTCATACCGCAACGGCTCACTTACGCAAACCGATTAAACTAGATACCACATTTTAACGTCCCATCCAATTCTAAATGCTTCTAATTTTAAAACACAACATTAAAAGTAGGCTGTTTTTTTTCAAAAACTGCACTTATGCGTCTTGTCCTCCAAGCTCCGCAAATGTGTGTGCCACTAAAGATCCAAAAATCTCTGATGTGGTTTATCATGAGCAAATTTTTAATTAGTAAGGTCTCCATGCGTCCAGCAACTTGCATTTGTCGGCACGCCTACTTTTTTGTCGCTGCGTTAAAGTCTCTGAAGCGATTCTTCCATTTTTCCATGCTAGCCATCTCTCGTGTGGTTCAGTATAGTCAAATTTTTATAGTGCGGAACCTTAGCGGCGTCTATTTGCGTCGTCTGACGCCTGCTGATAACGCTGCAACAAAATTGAGGGCGGGAACTCGGAAGGCGCTCAAATTTTAGTGCACGCCGGCGGGCGAGGGCGACCAGCGCGACACGCGCGTTGGCGCCTACAAACCTAACAGAGATACTTCACGCATTGCGCGCGTTGGCGCCTACAAACCTAACAGAGATACTTCACGCATTGCGGAAAGCGTGAAGTATCCCCGTTAGGTTTGTAGGCGCCAACCAGGCGCCAACGCGCGTGTCGCGCTGGTCGCCCTCGCCCGCCACCGGTGGTATAGCTACGAATTCTTTAAAGGGGGGGGGGGTCCGTGACGGTAAATTTACATTACTTTTTGTACGTTACTGATAATATTATTTGTCTGCCTTCCTAAAGTTAAAAAAAAGGTACAATTAATGAGGCTAAGGACCCCTCCCCCTTTTGTCTACGCCACTTGTGCACGCTGTTATAGGAACGGAATTTGCTGCTTTTTTTGTTGCTTTCCGCTGTCAGATCTTGAAGTCTCGTTGAGTCACACCGTCATGTTTAGTGTCAATAGAGTCCGCAGTATTTTCAATCCTTCATTAAAAAAAGGGGAGGGGGGGATTACCTACAAGAAAAAAGGCTTCCAATCCGTCTGAAATATTGAAACCGAATGGAATCAGCTAGAGAACATACCTTTTACCGTATCGATTTCTTGCCATGCTGTTCAACTAATTGAATAGAGCTTAAAGTGCGCTCAATGATTATGTCGAGCTACATGTTTCTGAATCTTCTTCTAACTTTTGACTAGGGTCGCGACCCTGTTTGTCTAGCCTCTAAATTAGGAAAATATTATGGTGATGAGAGAGATCACTTAATGGTCCTCCGGGGATGAAAGGCAGCTCTGTGCCCATCTCTTGGGCGGTCTACCGGGTTGCCTTTGGCTATGAGGTCGTCCTACCATACAAATCTTGGCAAGCCTTTTCCCGTCCACCCTCTCAACATGTTCCGACCACATTTTCCGGCGCATCTTGGTCCATTTGGCAATATCTTGAATTTGGCACTCTTCGCGAATTGATTCGTTGGTCTACCTATCTCGGAGCGTGAAACCTGCTATTTTCCTCGGGACTTTGATTTCTACGGTCCGAAACTGTTGTTTAGTACGCTTTGTGTCTGCCCAGGTCTCCGCAGCGTAAGTCAGCACAGGTCTTACAATCGTTTTATAAACTCTAACTTTGCTCTCTTTAGCCATGTACTTATTCCTCTAGACCATTTCATTTAGGCATCAGGTTATTCTAGTTGCCTTGATTGTCTAACTTCGCGCCTCGGTCCCTAAATCCTTCACACTTGTTATTAAAGCGCCCAAGTACTGAAACTGCATTACTTGTTCAACTGCGGTACCGTCCACTACTAGCTTACATTGTATTAGATTTTTGCTGATACTGCTGCCATAATTTTTGTTTTTTGGCGCGTATACGTAGTATACCGCCTTTGCGATCGTTTCGAACCCTGCTCGATACAATAACCGAGTCCCTTAGTTCCTTACCGAAAAGTGACTACCGCGAACTTCTGAGATTTTCCAAAGCGTGTAAAAAGTTTATTTATCCGTCAATAATTATGATTTAAAGTTGTTTCGCATTCGGGGGCTCTCTAGTTTATGTGCGGTGAATACCAAGAGTCTACGTTACTTGGTTTTTTTAAAAAAAGCCTAAGAATACGACGCGCTGATTTAAAATATGCACAAATAAGCAGAAGCAAGCGAACTGATTCGAGGATGGCGGAGCAGGTCGGCACTCTCGGAATGAGAATTGCACTCCTCCGTTTGGTTCAAAACGTTGCTTGGACAGATCTCCAAACCCCTGTTATGCTTTTCAAAATTTGGCAGCACTGATCTGATAACCACGACCGTAAGTGATAGCCGTAAGTGCAATCTGTGATGAGCCGCGAGACTCATTAGACCATTTGCTAAACGTGGTTCATACAGGAAGCTACTTGCACTTATAAAAATCTACCTACCCCTCTCTTCCCCGCGCGCCTGGCCCCTGCGTCGGCGACAATGGCCTGGGAGAAAAAGGCGGCCGCCGCGCGCCGAGAACCCGACCCTATTAATTACGCTTCATTAACCATTTCATCGTCACGTTAGGATTCGTCCAATTTTCAAAAAAATTGTTTCGCATGTACTTAGCAATTTTTTTCTTACCATCCGTTAAAACACGAATTAAAAGAAGTCTCATTCATAAAAATCGGCCGAATAGAAGAGAAGTTACAGTATATTCGAAATCTGAAGAAATCAACAAAACCTCGAATTCTCCAAAAAAAAAAAAAAATGAAATGAAGAGGGAAAAAAGAAATGTATAAATTACAATTAGATAAAATTGACCTCAGAATTCGACAAGCAATTCCATTATATAACGGAGAAAAAATTGGGAGTAATTACAAAAAATTCGCCTCTTGCAAGGGGCTTCCTTGTAAGAATTTTGACCTGAAGACAAGGGTCGAATNAAAAAAAAAAAAAAAAAAAAAAAAAAAAAAAAAAAAAAAAAAAAAAAAAAAAAAAAAAAAAAAAAAAAATCCGTCGAGATTCGGGAACGTAAAGGCGCTTTAAAATTATTCTGCGACTATAATAGCTAAATCACCCGTAGTAAATCCCGTTTATTAATAAGAAATTGACTCCATAGCTTCATGCCTTAGTTTCTTAAATACGATTATTTTAAGCACTCAAACATTTATACTACCAGTTTTAGCCATGAGGTGATTTCCTGAGAGCCGATAATATCACGAATTTCTCATAGAACCCTTCAAAAATGGCTTGCTTTTTGGGCAGCCGATTCGGCCATCGAACCGGGGTTTAAAGGGAAGCTGATAATAACACAAACCTTTGCTCTGAGAAAAATTTTGAGATAGACGTGGATTCTGTTCAGCATACCGATGCATAAGCATTTTCATACGTAGAATCTAATTTTCACGTCAGGGAGAGGACATATTTTGATTTTTTTCGATTTTATACGGAAAATTGATGGTTCTTCGGGATTGAAATTACTTGTAATTGTTTCTTGAAAAGTAAGGCACGCAGAATGACTATAGCATATTGACTTTAACATATGTGCACTCACGACATTGATTCGTAAATTCAACGAGTGGGTACATCGACCTGGTATATCAAGTTTCTGCGATATTTTACGGCAAATCGGTAGATTTTCGGGATGTAGATTTCTTACTTTCAATTCATGAATGAATAAAGCATAGACATATATGGTTGGACTGCTTTCCATGGAAAGACGTTTAAAGTAACAAAATCAAGACATATTTAAAGCAATTGCATTTATATCGAGTCAATTTCTTTTCAATAATATAACGGGATTTATATTACCGGTGATTTGGGTATTTTAGCCCCAAAATACCTTTAAATCGACTTTATCCTCTAGGAGTTCAACAGAATTTTTCCTCTCTTCGCTTAAATTATTCCGCAGAACTTTTCTTCAAGAATCTGATAAGATTTTGCTTTAGGCAGATCTAAAAAATTAAATTCGTTCGAATAGCTTTCCACTTTCACAATATACGGTCTCGTCAAAGTGCGTCGTTGAAGTGTTGGATCGTATGAATTCTCTTGTTGTGCTACTTGCCTATTTTGAAATCTCTGTAAATGAAAACTAAAGGGGTTGATATGTGCGAGTTACTAACGCGCCTTATCAACACATTGTGTTGGAGTTCACTGCTTGTTTTTTTTTAGCCGCCACTTTCATGTTGAACGTCTTTGCAGTAAGGTTGAAGGAATGGAGCATTCTTTGCAGATCATCCTCGGAGCTTGCTACTAAAACAGCATCGTCTGCATCATTTCTGAATCTTGTTACTTGAAATCCGTTTTCAAAGGTGCCGGATTAGCACCAGACTCGGTCTATAGTAATGCACAACAAATCATTCATTTGAAAAGTGAGTCTCATTTGAACATATTATTGCTATGTGTCATTCAAATCCTAAAAACACTTGAGTAGGTGAGTGGGTGGGTCTGATAAGGGTATATATAGATATATTCAAGTGACGGATCTTGATGGATCCATTGGTGGTCCTTATATATTCCTTTCAATGGTTCAATCATTTCAGTCAATCATTTTACAGCGCTGTGTAAATATTTTACTAGGAGATGTAAGTACAAAAAATATCTTTTCCTCATCAGTTTTCTTTTCAACTCCCTCTTAAATTTCAAACAGATTAAGAACATACGATAAAGAAGTCGGTAAGAGGGAGAGAGAGAAAAAAAGAGCACCGAAAATCGGATACATACAATAAATGAGACATATTCGCCTACGAAAGTAGAAAGATGACAAGCTAATTTTAAATATGAATATTTTAAATTTGAATAATTTCTCTTCAATTGTGACGTTGAAAATCTCCGTTTCTGATTTATTGTTATTTTTTCCAAAGAAAACTATCAACAGTTTTCCGGAAATCTCTTGTGACTTTTTTGATCTTCCAAAAATATTCATTTGAAATTTCAAGGATATATTTTTCGTAGGAAAAAAGTTGCAATAAAGTGACATTACATGATCATTCATACCCACCGCATAGGAGTGCTGTGGATGTTGCCTAGCTACTAATTGAAGGAACTCTTTTTATTGACATTGATTGCGAGAAAATTTAAATGGGTCGCAAATTTACCTTGTATTGCAATGTGCCTTTATTTTGATTGACATCCAACAAATAGCAAAAAAATAGATAGTACCTGCCCCACTGAATAAAATGGATATTCTACTTGACTAGCGCCAGTTCATATAAGTAACATAATAGTAACCACACAAAAAAAATATGTAAAATCCATAATCGAAAAATAGCTTAATCTCAAAAGGCAGCAGTATGAGTCAAAGGATTTAAAAGTATTGTAACACCAAGGTAAAAGAAATCGAACCTTTATTTCAATTTTTTCATGGATAAGTGCGACTTGGATTTCAGTCATTTTTTTAAAAAAATGATGGAATTTAATCGAAGGAGGGTTTTTTAGTATTTTTTGTAATCCTGATGTAAGAACCAAGTGACTCCACACCAAGTGCACATTGTACACAATGCATTTCATTTCGCTATTTCTGCTTTGCAACAGATTCTCAGACAGCATCATGTTCAGCAAATTGAAACTAGCCGCTCTAGTAACGATATTTTGTGTCATTCAAACTGCCCGAGAAGTAAAGACATCCAGAGGGCAACATGATTCCTCGGTGAGTCACTCACCTGCTTTTTGAGCGTGAATTTATTTATTTATTAATTTATATATTAATTTTTTTTAATATGAGTAAACTTTTTAATCTAATAAAAGTTTATCTGTAGCATCGTGAAATGCTTATGAGAATGAATAAAAAACGTGTGAAGCTTGTAGTATTTCAATTTTATCAAAGTTTCTGGATACAGTCTGGAAAACTTCCGTAAACTAAAGTATATTCAGTAGAGGGTGGATTTTAAAATAAGTTTTCCTATTTTTGTCTAGTTAATTATAAATGTAGGGGTAAAAACCAAATGAATATGAAAACGAACACACTCTCAATTCATTTACAATGTAACTTCACGAATAGTGGGAATTGAATGTCGGAGTAGGAGAGCTTGCACTAAAAAATTCGATTACTCAGCCAGTCTTTGACTAGTTTCACTCGACTGCAAGGAAAAACATGATGAAGAAAAAAAATCATAAAGCATTCTTTGAACGTGAATCTTAAAATGAAGTGGTGAGATGTTTTGTGTTCCTGGTAATACATCATTCGTTCGTGAAAAGGTTTGTAAAAGACGTTTTCTCAGGTGAAAATTCAAGCCAATTTCTTTTTAATTCATTCTAAAGAATATTGCTCTCAAAGTCGTCCATTCAAAATGGTGTCATGATGTACGCCTTCCATTAACAAAATCAACTACCATCTCATCTACAAACAGATATACGAAGAGCCGTCTTTATCTCCATTTGTTGGTTTGTACATCGTGCTTTGCAAAAAGACTCGATGTTGATCGTTACACCTGGATGCAACTATTCGTGTTCATGGGATGGCCAGGTTGCATACATTAAAATTTGCAGACGTTTCAACTGTTTTGCCTCGACACCGATGCGCATGGTGCACTCCTGGACCCTCTGTCATGACAGCAAGGAGGACTGTGGATTAGTCTAGGGTGTTTTCTAGATACGTACATGAGTCACTTTTATAGCACTCTCTGGCGCTCTGCGGCGCCTAATCGCCACAAAACTTCGTCTTCCCACAATCGATCAGGGAGTTGACATTCCCTCATCTCACTTAAAACCCCCTTTCGCCACCCTCTCACTGAGCGTCCTCTTCGTCTCCTCCCAGGAGGAAGCCAATCAAGCACCTTCTTTGGCAGCCTCTCTTCCATCATCCTATTAACATGGCCGTACCAGACAAGCTGTTTGGTTATGACGTCGAATAGATTATGTCATTTTCGACTCCCATGATATGACGCACTCTCTCATGACGGACCCGATCTCTCTAAGAAATTCCTGCCGACCTCCTCCAGAAATCCATCTCCGTTACTTTTAACACACCCTGTGTCCGTCTCTTCAGCTGCCAAACTTCACATCTTTATGTTTATATACTTTTAACCACAGCATTGTATACCCTCCTCTTGTTATCTTTGGAAATCCGCTAATCCCAGAGGATTTGATTTAACATCGCTATGGTCACCTGGTCATCAGCAAAGCATAGAGTGAACATATTTTCGAAATCACCAAAGGGGACACCCCCCCCCTTGCATTTGTGTCCCCTTTGGTTTGCTAGATTTGCTTATTAATTAACTCAGATATTTTGAAAATGAGATATCGAGAAGATAGCGTTTCCGCGATGAAAAGGTGCGAGAGAAAATGGGTGTTGAGAAGGACATCGTGCACGATATCAAGTCCAAGCAGATGGTCTGGTATGGACATGTGCGAAGGGTGGCAGACGATCGGTTGCCCAAGCAGATTTTCGATTGGGTTCCTCTCGGGAGGGGACGGCGTGGACGTCCTGTGAAAGGTTGGCGACAAGGGGTGGAGGAGGATATCAGAAGGTGCCATGGGAGGATAGGGGGCAATGGCGATTGGGCGGCGCTGTGAAAGCGACTTAACCCTTTGTTGCACGAATTAATTTTGGATCACCGATTTTGATGAAAAAAATATATGTGGTAGGTTATGGAAAAAAATTGGACACGTCTATTGCCGTTTTTGAAAATTTTGACCTTTTGACCTTTTTTGGGGCACAAAACCAAATGTTGCCAAACGGCATCACCGAACACTTTGAGAATTTTCAAAAAAAATTGAAAGACTTGGAAGTGGAAAATTTTGAGCTAATAAATTGGAGTTTTAATTTAGAATGATAAAAGAAAGAATAAGTATAAGAAATCGTAGGTAAAATCGAATGCTACGGCTTTCCGGGGAGGAAAAACTCTTGCGTTTCCAAGCGTACCAAAAAATTAGACCTAGGTCCAAGGTCCGACCAAAATATTTAGTTTTAAAAAAATTAATTAAAGTTTAAATACCCTAGGTGTAAAAAAATGAAAAGGATGACCTCAATGTGAAAAANTCATCTCACTTAAAACCCCCTTTCGCCACCCTCTCACTGAGCGTCCTCTTCGTCTCCTCCCAGGAGGAAGCCAATCAAGCACCTTCTTTGGCAGCCTCTCTTCCATCATCCTATTAACATGGCCGTACCAGACAAGCTGTTTGGTTATGACGTCGAATAGATTATGTCATTTTCGACTCCCATGATATGACGCACTCTCTCATGACGGACCCGATCTCTCTAAGAAATTCCTGCCGACCTCCTCCAGAAATCCATCCTCCAGAAATCCATCCTCCAGAAATCCATCTCCGTTACTTTTAACACACCCTGTGTCCGTCTCTTCAGCTGCCAAACTTCACATCTTTATGTTTATATACTTTTTAACCACAGCATTGTATACCCTCCTCTTGTTATCTTTGGAAATCCGCTAATCCCAGAGGATTTGATTTAACATCGCTATGGTCACCTGGTCATCAGCAAATCATAGAGTGAACATATTTTCGAAATCACCAAAGGGGACACCCGCCCCCTCCCTTGCATTTGTGTCCCCTTTGGTTTGCTAGATTTGATTATTAATTAACTCAGATATTTTGAAAATGAGATATCGAGAAGATAGCGTTTCCGCGATGAAAATGTGCGAGAGAAAATGGGTGTGGAGAAGGACATCGTGCACGATATCAGGTCCAAGCACTGGTACGTCTGGTATATAGACATGTGCGAAGGGTGGCAGACGATCGGTTGCCCAAGCAGATTTTCGATTGGGTTCCTCCCGGGAGGGGACGGCGTGGACGTCCTGTGAAAGGTTGGCGACAAGGGGTGGAGGAGGATATCAGAAGGTGCCATGGGAGGATAGGGGGCAATGGCGATTGGGCGGCGCTGTGAAAGCGACTTAACCCTTTGTTGCACGAATTAATTTTGGATCACCGATTTTGATGAAAAAAATATATGTGGTAGGTTATGGAAAAAAATTGGACACGTCTATTGCCGTTTTTGAAAATTTTGACCTTTTGACCTTTTTTGGGGCACAAAACCAAATGTTGCCAAACGGCATCACCGAACACTTTGAGAATTTTCAAAAAAAATTGAAAGACTTGGAAGTGGAAAATTTTGAGCTAATAAATTGGAGTTTTAATTTAGAATGATAAAAGAAAGAATAAGTATAAGAAATCGTAGGTAAAATCGAATGCTACGGCTTTCCGGGGAGGAAAAACTCTTGCGTTTCCAAGCGTACCAAAAAATTAGACCTAGGTCCAAGGTCCGACCAAAATATTTAGTTTTAAAAAAATTAATTAAAGTTTAAATACCCTAGGTGTAAAAAAATGAAAAGGATGACCTCAATGTGAAAAATAATGTAGAGAAATGGAATTTATTCGTTGAAAAAAGAACATCAGAAGGACATCAGAAGGAAGAACATCAGAGGTCTGAATCATCAGATTTCTCTGGATTTTCACCAAGACACTTGACGATTTTGTCTATTCGCAAACGCTCCTCCTCTTTAACCATTGTTTCAGGCACTCAACACAGCATTTTCTTGGCAAAAACTAATAAAACTGACTGAAACGCGCGTTTAACGCATGTACTCGCGCGCACGATAACTTGAGTAAACATGACCTATAAACTCAAAAGTTGTCCCCTAGTTGCTCGGTGATGCCGATTGGCAACATTTACTTTTTGATCTCCATAAAACTGCGTAATAATGCTGTAATGATTCTGATTGGCTATCGAAAAACTACAAAAAGCAACCTAACAGCATGAATTTTCCCAGCCCATCAGCACCACAGGGCAGCCAACCACCGACCAGCGAAAGTGGTGACCTCACCGGTGACCCTCAGACCGACCAACCCGACAAAAAAGCGTTTTTTTACAGTTGGCAGCCTTTAATTGGGAGTGGGGGAAAATTTATTCATATCCGCTATACCGATGCCGACCGGCATAAACAATCACATCAAAAAATCATCTACATCCTGATTTTAAAAAAATAAAAAACCAAATGTTGCCAATAAGCATCATTGTGCAATAAAGGGTTAATGTACGTATTTTCAAAATTTTGATTGAAATCATCTTCCTGCTTTTATCTTATTGAAATTTAAAATGCGTTTTTCACACGAATAAATGAAGAAGATTGGAAATTCTCTATCATTCATCAAATGATGATTCAGGTGGTTCCAAACAGTTTCGGCCTATAATAAGACGGTGTATGGTTTCAGCTCAATGCTGCTCAGAACCTGTTGCATCGAAATGTTGTGTATGCTGCCTATTTACTGTCTTAAGAAGCTCCTCTTTTTGCTATTCAATACACTAAAATATTAAAATATTTCGCAAGTTTTAATTCGACGGTGTAAGTCGGCAATCACATAACTCGTTTGCGGTGTCTGAAAATCTCCGCCTCTACGTTAATTTTTTAAATTATAACAAATTGACATCATTCCTTGAAATTTTTGCAGAATTTTTCTCGCACAAAGAAGAAAATCACGCCAGTTTTAAAGAATTGCCGTTGAGTAGTTTTCCGTTTAAAAAATAAAGTATGACAGGAAGTCTACGACGTCACAAACTGTCATGCACCTTCGAACTGCTTTGCAAATTGCTAATTTTTTGATACGGAACTCCTTTTATGCGGATTGTTAAAAATCAGTGTCTACTTAATTGTCAAATGAACGTATTTCTATCAAACGGAACTAAGCGCCAATTTCAGTTCCTTTTGATGAATTTAGAATCCCGGATAGCGCGTTCTGTCAAATGGACCTAAGTGCCATGGAAAAGCATTGCGATTATAGGACGGAATAAGCCGGACGCCCGATTCCGCCGCCAATCCAAGCCCCCCTCTACCTTCCTCACCATATGGCGCTCAGATTCGTTTGATAGAAATACGAGTATATAGCAATGTCACGGTAGAAACAATTGAAATGTTATTCAATAAATTGTAAGGTAGTATGCCGTTCCGAGGAAGGAAGTTCAGGAAGTCCGAGGAAGGATTTACCATAAATCCAGTATAGTACTTCAGTTTCTCTTCATGTAATTATTGCAATTTGTTTTCTAACGGGTGTGCTAAATATTGTTTTACTCTCAGAGCCTTCGATTAAGTTTCTGAGGTTACGAGCTAAAGTAAAAACAGAGGAGGAGTACAAGGAGAAGAGCTCAAAATCTCCTGAGAAAAGCGTTTTACACGAGAAAAAAATTACGACATTGTAGTCTACTGCACTTGCTTTAATGACTCACAAAATGTGAGACACGCGAACTTTCGAGTGGAAGGAAATATGCTTTTGAGATTATGTTAGTAAATTGAGTGATACCTGTATGATAATAAAGTTTAATTACTGTAGTATGATTAACTCATTGCCATTAAACTTCGAATAGCATTAATCACACTCTCAAAAATTTCTAGGAATCATGGTCAAGCTCCTGTGATGTGGAGACTTCGCAAATACAGGGTGATCCAAAAGTCACTTCCACCCCTCTAACTTTTTACCTAATTGAGGTAAAGATTTGAAACTTAGGGGGTGTTCCTAGGTTAAAAGGAGCTATTTTTTGGCCCCCCTAAAATTTTTAGGGGGCCCCCCTTGGGGGGGGGCAACGGACCCCAACTTTTAATTTCCAAATGGGAAGACCCCCTTTGTGATAGCTCGTTCAAAAGAGCATTAAAAAAGAAAACTTTTCGCGCAAACCCGAAGTCAATATCTCAAACCGTTTCAAAATGGCGGCCAGTTGAAGTTCAAAATGGCCGAAAATTCACACCGGTTCTTTGTCGATGGATTTGCGTGAAAATCAGTAAGTGCCTATAGCGGAATTTTGACACGAGAAAAACGAATTTGACGTTAAGTTTTCAAAAAAACCGAATTTTCCAAAATGGCCGCCGGTTAAAGTTCAAAATGACCGAAGATTGGTTTTTTCAGAAGTCTAAGTTCAAATGTGTTAATCTTATGCAACCCTCAAATTCTAAGTTTTAGGTAAATCCATCAGCAAAAACCGAGGTGGCAATTTTTCGTCATTTTGAACTTTAACCGGCGGCCATTTTGGAACATTCGGTTTTTTTGAAAATCTATCGTCAAATTCGTTTTTCTCGTGTCAAAATACCTCTGAGTACTGATTTTCACGCAAATCCATCGACAAATAACCGGTGTGAATTTTCGGCCATTTTGAACTTCAACCGGCCGCCATTTTGAGAACAGTTTGAGATATTGACTTCGAGTTTGCGCAAAAAGTTTTCTTTTTTAATGCTCTTTTGAACGAGCTATCACAAAGGGGGTCTTCCCATTTGAAAATTAAAAGTCGGGGTCCGTTGCCTCCCCTCCCCCAAGGGGGGCCCCCTGAAAATTTTAGGGAAGCCAAAAAGTAGATCCTTTTGACCTAGGAACATCCCCCAAATTTCAAATCTTTACCTCAATTAGGTAAAAAGTCAGAGGGGGTGGAAGGGACTTTTTGATCACCCTGTATAGCAGACTGATTTCCGATACTTAAAGAGAGCTATCTCTAATTGGTTCCCGCGTAGCGGCCGCCATCAGCTACAAGTCTACATGTATATTTATGATTGATTGATTCTCTAATTTTAGTCGAACCGATAATGTTCAAGGTATACTCAGATCCTTAGAAGCACACAATATACGATTAAAAATTGTTAAAAAAGAAAAAATAATCACAAGAGACTGGTGAAAAACTGGTAAAAAGTGTGGTAAAATTGGCAAAAGAGGGGTAGGTTTTAATGTTAGGTTTTAATTTACGTAATTTTTTAATCCTCTCTTCCAGTTTTGCTCTCCCCTTTCTTTGTTTACACATTTACTAAGTGAAATTCTTCAACTCTGATATTTCACGACGTTTGTACGCATAGTTTACGAGTTCTACAAATATTTTCTCGAGTTATTTTACGAGCTGTGCCGCTGCGCGACTAGGGTGTTAAGAAAATAGAAGAAATCATTTCTCGCTTACCTAAACTATGAATAGCAGGTATTATGCAAGACATGTGTAAAAGAAGGATAACGTAGAAGCATTGACATTTTGGCAGGTTCTGAATCGACAAATTTTGAGAAAATGGCTCGCTGAAGCACCGGAAAATCATGCCCCAGAGGCCATATCGGACGTGTTGGCTGAGCTTAGTCATGGCCCCTCCCTGAAGACTCGCTTGCGGGAAGACTTGAGGCAAAAATTGGGAAAAATTGAGGATCTCCCCGAATCATTCGACGCGCGCCAGAAGTGGAAGCATTGCAAACATCTCATCGGCGCCGTCCACAATCAGGGTCCTTGCAAGTCCGACTACGTAAGTGCCAAATTTTTACTTAAGGTATAATTCGTCCTGCGGGAATTTTTGAAATTGATAGACAAAGGTTTGGGCAAATGAGGCAATCCTGAAGCAATCCTGTTGGTTGAAATGAGTGGTTGTTACAGACCAAGAGGGTACTTAAATGATTGACTAACTAAGGGTCTTTCGTTGGTTGCCGTTAGTTAGTCTAGTACCTCCCTCCTTTGTCCATTTTAACCACCCGCTTCCACCGCGATAGGTTGCCTTCATATCCCTTATGTCCTCTTTGTCTATCACTTTGTCTATCAATTTCAACAATCGGCCCGCAGGGATTTCGGCGTGGTCGAGCCGCTGCCCTGGGATCTAATTTTGGCGATTGATCGAGAGACATTCAAACAGCGCACGTATGTAGCGCAACGGAGACAGTAAAAGTAACTACAGGTACAACTACATCGCATCATACGATAAGGACGATTTGAGGATTATCGGGAGTAAATCAGCAGTATAACTTTTGGTTTAACAAAGGATTAAAACGATTTGCCAGTGAAAAAAATGAAGGACACGAATAAAAAATTCCATGCTTTTGAAAAACTATAATGTAGATACGAACCTACTTTGGAATTTTCAAAACTGGCAAATTTTTTTCCTTTGTATTTTTAAAATTTTAAAGGACCAAATCATCGTAATCCTTCACAAAAGGGTCTATTTCCATAGAAATAAATTGCTCCCTCGGAAAACTTGCCTGGAGATGTATATATGATGTTGTTCTCTCTCTTTCTTTTGCAGGCAATTGTAGCGGCTTCAGTACTGGCTGATCGTTTATGTATACAAAGCAACGGGAAGTTTAAAGATATGCTCTCAGCACAAAAAATTTTAGAATGCTACGGCTCTTGCAAGTTTGGTGGCTTCATGTGGGATACATTTGAATACCTAAACAAAACAGGCACAACAACAGGAGGCCTTTATCAATCTGGAGAGGTAAGTTCGTGGACTATAGTTTCTTCTGAAGCATATGCTGAGTTTGCAAAATATATGTCAACAAGTAGAAGCGTGACTTTCTACATGTTATTAAGTACATAGAATGTTGTGCTATATTAACGACAGTAACCTTCTCCTCCCTTCGCAAATAAAAATAACTTATTGCCCGACAAAAAGACGGATCAAAATAGATTGATTTTTTGAATTGCAATAAAACTTTTTATTTATTTATTTTATTTATTTTTTTTATTTTTTTTACATAGGACTACTTCCCTTTCCTCTTTCTTTTTTTGCGAAAGTTTGGCACAAAAGTTCGTGATTTCTTGCTGATTTTCGTTGCGCATTATTCTTATGTTACAATCTTACGAGAATACACGGATGTCCAAAATTTGGAAACACGTTTAAATTTGCGACGTTGCAAATTTTCCGTCACGCTATTTTTCAAATAATCAACCAATTGCAACCTTATTTTCCGAGCATTCTCGCAATTTTTTCCTCCAAACTCTGCAACGTAAAGTATTCTAAGACAGTTTTCAGTAATTGAGTTGATTTTGTTCACCCTCAACCACCTAAAAATTAGTTTCTTAAACTGATGTTAAGAATTTTTGCTAGGGCTGCGTACCGTTTAAGCCACAGCCCTGCTCGCACAGAGGCAACGATAGAATGATGGCTTCTGATGGTGATTTGCCAGACTGCTCCACCCTTCCATCAAGAGAATACAACTGGTGCGACAAGAAATGCACCAACGAAAATTATGATAAGAAATTCACCGAAGATATTCACAAAAGTAAGTAATTAAATCAAAGAGAATAAATCCGGTGTGCCATGCGGGCAGCCTGCATGGCACGACACCGCGAAACACTTCTTTTAACAAAGTTTAATTTTGATTTTTAAGAAACACATTCTTAAGAAATATTCAGGAAATATTTTTCAACAAAATTAGAGAAACAACTTGGAAATTCTAAGTCCTAGGTAACCAAAAATTGAGCTTTAAGGCGAAATACTAGGAACAACTTTGAATTTAATTTGGAAGTTTAAAAGAATTCTGAAAATACCCTTATATTTTATCAGGTCCAGTTTATTTATCTTAATAGATTTTGTATAATACATTCTCAATTGCATGCAGAAAGCGAAATATCATGAATGAAATAAAGTTAAATGAGGGGGCAAATTGGAAAAAATAAAAAAAACCTTAACCTAAAAGAATTCCTAGTCGGCCAACCAAAAATTAATCTTACAGGCAGCAATACAGCGATTTTTCATTTTTTCCCCGATCCAAGTTAGAGGTTAAAGCATCCTAACTGTCGTCAAAATGATACTTTTCTAGCCGCTAAGTTTGGATGGGCGCCAACAAATGCAAAAAAACTACAAACTGAGATCTATGTGAATGGATCGGTCGCAGCCGGCTTTACGATGTACGACGACTTTAGAGGGTATGAATCAGGTAAGTTCGGCCTAAATATTATAAATACAATTATTGATAATCAAGACAATATATCATTTTTCTGGAGAAATCGATACATAGAAGGTTTCTTTGCAGAGACATGTTGCAATCTCCCACCAAAATAACTTAGCAAAAGTTTACCGAAAGGCCGCTAAGGCATCCGACTTGAAAGAAGGCGGACAGGGCTAGGGGGCCAATATAAACCGCCGGCGCCCGTGAACGCACAGTGTTTGGCACAATGCGTGAAGTATTTCTGCAGTTTGGTAGGCGCTCATATGCGCTTCTTGCCGACCAGCGACCGCACTGTGTTTGGCGCAATGCGTGAAGTATTCCCGCAATCTTGGCCTCAGGTACTAATATACATTTCGTGCCGATTGGCGCGGCGGCCACACTACGTTTGGTGAGATTGGAAATGATGATACAGCATTGGATTTGAGAAAAACTGTAGGAACAGATGAAAGACAATAAGTTTGAAGAATGGCTGGGTAAAATTGATGAAATGGTTCATGCAGAGCACAGGCAAAAATATTACAGTAAAATGTCTATCGAAATTTAGTCACAGATGTATATATACAGCACAAAAGAACATAGCCCGATTATACGAATAAATAGGGAGGGAATTAAACAGTGGTAAACAAGGCTAAAGCATTAAAAAACACTGAAAGACAGGACGTTTCGCTCCCCATTTTATCAAATTAAAAGATATAAACTATTTCTCATAGGAAATTTTGTGCTCTTTATAAAAGGTCCGGTAATATGTTCCCTTAGGATTGATTGTTTTTAGATAAGTATGAGCGAAAAACCGGTCGCCGGCGGCGTATTTTGGCCCCCCAGCCCGTCCTATTTTTCAAGGAGAAGGCCTTAGCGGACAGGCGATTTCGATAAACTTTTGTTATGTAGTTCTGAAGACGGATTACAACATGTTTCCGCAAAAAAACCTCTATACATATATTGCCCTATTTCCAGATTGCCCTTTTTTACAACTAATTTGACTGGATTATGAGATCAAAAGATAAATGTATTTACTGACCTTTGACGCGACATTATGCATGCACGATACACCTACCTATAATAGGACGCCTTTAAATCAAAAGGAACAACATCCATTCTGACATGAACCCTGAGATCCATTAGAGTACATGCATGATACGGATCAAGTCAAAATTGATATAGTTCCTTTTGCTTTAAATACGTCCAATTCTACGCGATGTTTTGCGCCAATATTTCTCACTTGAGCGAATTTCAAGTAAAAAGAAAATTAATTTTAGTAAAGATTAAGTAATTGATTTACCGTGACGTGCAGCTCTATGGTCAAGATCAATGGGCCTGTTGCAAACTTTGCTCAAGAGTTGTTCCTTACAAATACTGTCCAGTAAATCACGATGAGCGCATCGGCAAACTCTGAAATGCACTCCTAACTTTAAAATCTGCGTGAAAAATTTGCCTTTTTTTTAAAAAAGATTCCCGCTTCAAAGAGGATACCACAGCACAGGTGAACATTTAGTTAGATGAGTCGTTCCATTCAATCCCTGCTCAACATAGCCGACGCTTCCGGGCGCAAGTTGAGGAAAGCACGAGCTCAATCAAGGCAGATACCTAACAGCGCGAGAAAAATGTGAATGTAAACACGCCGCGCCGGTTGTTATCCGGTGGTTAGTTCCATCGTCCTGTCGCACATGTGTTTTGGCGGATTGGCGTCGGCTATATGTTGAGTATTGCGTAGTATCCTTGTGAGCAGGGGTTGGATGGAATGACTCTTCTAACGAAATGTTCATCTGTGCCGTGGTATCGTTTTTGAAGCGGGAAGCTCGAAAAAACGCAAATTTCTCACGCAGATTGTGAATTAAAGAGTGCATTTCAGACATTGCCAATGCGCTCATCGTGATTTTTGAGACACTTTCTGAGAGGAACAACTCTTATTTTTGTTCTAGCAAAAGTTTGCAACAGGCCCATTTTAATTCAGTAAGTAATTGTTCTGTTGTCGATCTTGTTTAACTAATATGAGGCGCTCTCATCAGATGAGTCGTCGTTCCTCTAAGGTGAGGGCGTATACCCATCTCTAAGATGACCTCTATGGACCTTTCTAGTCTATAACTTCTGGGGCTCACGTGAAAATGGAGATACGGCCTTGTGTCAGAGAGACGACAAAATGTTGGGAGTCCATCAATCTGAGTCGCTGCATAAACAAGGATTAAAATTCCGGCCTAAAAAAGCGAAAATGTTCTTAACTTCTTTTTACGCGCGTCGATACAACCGCAAGTCATCAATCAATGAATTTGTGTTTTTTAAGGTGTATATAATAAGAGCAGCAATGCAGGGTACGAGGGTTCTCACAAGGTAAAACTAATCGGTTGGGGCATAGAAGATGACGGTACCCCTTATTGGCTTGCAGTTAACTCATTCGGCAAGGAATGGGGTCTCCAAGGGCTCTTTAAGTTCCCCAGGGGTAGGAACTACTATTTCATCGAATCACTCGGCATTAAAGTAACTCCACAACTATAGTGCGCCGTCTCCTGATGGTTTCACTTATCTGCCGCCGCCGTCTTACAGAAGACAGCTCAAAGTGCATTTCTGTATGAGCCACGTCTACCTACACGTTCTTTGTATCCAACTATCCCATCTCTAATTTTTATCCTTATCTTAAATATAATAAACATACTTAAATTTTATCCATCATAATATTTTTTCATTAGCACCCATGATTTTTGACATTTTTTAGTTAGGTCTACCTCAGGGCTAGACTCAGGATTTTTGAGCCCCTAGGCGCAGTCTGAGGTGCGGACCGACTACACTAAAAAAAAAGTGATGTTGAATGAATATTCTTGATGTGAAAAAGTGTGTGAGAACTCACAAAACGCTGTATTAACCGCCATAGTATAGCTAGTTTTATACATCTTGACATTGCTAATGTAACTGCTGTAGTGGTTAATTTAGCGTTTTGTGAGTTCTTGCACACTTTTTTACATTCAGAATGTCAAATCAGCGACTTTTTTTTCGGTGTGAATGTGCACCTCTCTGTGGAGAGAGGGGGAAGGTTTTGCAAGCGAACTTATTAAGTAGAGGGATGCCTGGAGCCTCCCCCGAGAAATTTAAATATTTACTCCTTTCAGGGAAATGTGAGGCATTTTTTGGCTCATATTGTAAGGGGAAAAGGGAAGATGGCAACCTACTACCTTAATTACGCATTAGAGAAAGGAGGAAAATGCTGCGTTTTGAAAAAAAAATTAAAAATTGTATGTTAGGAGGGGTAGAAAAAATACTTTGTAGCGGGGGCCTCCTTCTTGTGCAAGCAAGTAATTGCAGCCCTGCAGCCTGATTGTTGAAATTTTGTGTTTGTCGGGTAGAAATGGATGCCATAGGTTAAATGGCGAAGCGTGATTGGTTGGCTATGTCTTATCGTTTCTTTGTCGTGCTTTGTCGGTTGAAATGGACGACAAACTAAAGGCACCTCTTAAGTATCCGACAGTTTGTCGTCCATTCCACCCGACAAAGAAACGATAAGACATAGCCGACCAATCACGCTTCGCCATTTAGCCTATGCCATCCATTTCCACCCGACAAACACAAAATTTCAACAATCAGGCTGCTGGTCCGCCCACTAGCCTAGAATAATTATTAATTTAAATAAAGTATTCTCAATTGGACGTATTTATGCTAAATGGAACTATGTGCAAGTGGCAAGATGGGCTGTGCTCGTTAGTTGAGGGCCATGAGAATGAATGGGACTTTAAAAGCGCCAGTGACGTCAGCGGCGACGACGAAGACGCACGTGGTGACGAGCTCGTCGTCGGGGCGCTTTAAATCATGAGCCCTGTCCACAATGCTCTTGTCATATGCCCAGGACTTGCGAGTTAGCGCTCAGTTCCTTTTGATTTAATTGAAAATCCCGCTTATCCATTTTCTCAAAGGAACTATACCACTTTTACATTGTTGATGCAGCTTCCACGAGCACACCACATCTTTCCACTTGCACGTAGTTTGTTTTAGCATAAATACGTTCAATTATAAAAATAAAAAAAGAAAATCAAGATAAAAAACTAAGAAAAATATTTTTTGTATACCGCCGCGCCGCCCCAAAACTTTGAGTGGCTAAAAGCAGAGCAGCCTATTGACGATCACCTCGAACTTTTTATTTGGCTTAGTGCAACGGTTCAAAATTATTGCGGGAAGCCAATTAACGCCTTCAATTTTCGGTATGAGCAACACAAACATCCACTAAAAACAAATAGTATCATCTATACTGAGCAAAATAGTTTCGTCATATCAAACCGGAGGTACAGTGTCATACATCGGCCACAATATTCGAGTCATATATCCGTGCTCTCCATTCCTCGATTTAAGTAGGTAGGTATCCGAGATTTCCTCGTGTTCAGTTTGACGGTTCCCAGAACCGAGTTAATGGTTACACGAACCGAATAATACGCGCCAGTATTAAGCACCGCACTTACGGTTTACATTACCGAACTTATTTTCAAGTGAGTAGTCATCGTCATCAACGTGGCCTATATTTAGGTGGGCGAATCTTATTCCGCTTGAGTCAGTTGATTATGAATAATAATGAGAAAATTAGAACTTTGCGTGCGTGGATATTTCAGTGCGAAGTATAGGGAATTTATTTCATCCGGATGTAGAATAATTCAAAACATGAAACATGGATCCACCGGAGAATAGGAAAATAATAGGCACCAATTTTCTGATTGAAGTGGCAATTTTATTACATTTTAACTAATGAGAAGATTTTCATATTTACAAATGTACAATAATATTTTGGAGAAATTGAAACGTTCATTTGGACGGTTTTAAGCTAAAGAAGAAAGATTCTCCATCATAAAAATCACGTATCATCGGTTGCTTTTTGAGACATATGTACCTGACTTAACTTTCTGCTAGCTCGTATGTTGAAGCGTCTAACATTGAGCATTGAAAATTGAAGTTTTACAATTATGTACTGTACCATGACGTATGAGAAAAAAATTCCAAGAGCTTAATAGGCGGAAGCAAATTTTCCATTTTCAATTCAACCCTGAAATTTTACCGATCAATGAACAGGGTATTTTATAATCATATGACTATATTTATAGAAAATTTTGGGCGGATACGGGTTTATAAGGTTAATATAATCACGATCTCTTTGCCAAGGCATGTAGGCACAGGCGGTTCTAGACCTTCATGCTTGGGGGTGCCCAGAGGTGGACAATTTCGGCGACCGGCCCCGATGGAGACGGTCGCTCAGGGGAGGCCTAAGTTTCGGCCCTCAAGTTTTATCCCTTTCCTACCCTCCTTTCTCTTTTTCTCTCCTTCCTTTCTACTTAAATACCTATAAATTCAATGCAGAAAATGTTTAGCAATACTTTCCATCAAAACTAAAATCTCACCATAAAAAAACAGTAGAATCTTTGTAAAACACGGTTATCAATGTTAATTCTGTTGAAAACATTTTCAATTAATTGCTGGGATTTTTTCTCAGCGTGAGCGAATACAGAATCCTTGAAATCAGTAATTTCACGGTTCCGATAACCGTACTTAATTTTTGCTTGGGGGTGCCCGGCACCCACTGGCACCCCCGTAGAACCGCCTATGCATGTAGGAGCTATAATAACTAAGCATAAAAAGAAAAAGAAAAAAAATCACACCACCTATTAAAGAAATTCAAAGACTTTTGAGCACCATTGAACTTTTTCAATGATGTACACGTACTTAAAACCGCCCAATGAGAATAATATAATATGAATGGAAATTCAGAAACTATGAATTATTTACAAATAGAAGCAAATTTAGTAGTGAGTATTTGAGAATCCAAGATCACGAGATTGTTGGGACAAACATTTGTACAGGTAGATCATCAGAATTAGTTTTTAATGAATGAATAATCGAAGAAATAACCATTTTTACACAAAATTGAATATTAATTACTTTAAACAAGAACACAAAGGAGAAGTGACGATTTGGAGCACGGTCACTGGAGGAGCAAACGGAAGTTACAGTCAAAATTTGAGCTTTTTTAAGGTGGTATAGGTAAGTTCTTAGTGCCTCTTGAGTGGAGGCTATGAATATCCGCCTTCTACGTAAGCATAGCCACGCCATTCATAGATTTGAGAGAAACGTATACCTACATGATTAAAACTATATTCAGGCCTACGGAGCACCATTTTATCGTTTTTCGAGGTATATAGTTCGGACTTCATATAAAGGGAAGTAGGGCATAATCTTAGAACAAAACCTCTTAAAAAATAATAAGTGCAAAGATTTTTGAACCATACTGTCTGGTCCATGCATTAAAATCTTTAAGAGTAGATTGAGCAAAAATATGACAGTGATTTGTGATTAAAAGAACTTCTTTTTAAATTGATATCGATAAAAATAAACTGAATACCTACACATCAACTTGACCACCTCATGACTAAAAGGTAAGGTTTCTGAGACACTATGACGCGAAATGACTGCGTGGCATTTCTGTATTCTTTGGAGGTATACTTCAAAACATTTTCGGCAAGAAAAGCTCAAAATTGCTCCGAACATGTCTCAATTTTCAAAATTCTGCGGAGGAAAGCCTCTATAAGCCCCCGCTTGAAGATGGGTCGAGTCTCTTGGCGGAGTGCCTCTCTGTGCCCCACAAGATATTTCTTGTTCCACCCGTGCACGCCGACCACAGTATTACCAACAATATAAAGACTATAGATTGGTGATGACTTATGAGGAAGCGCATTAAACATACGGCGGTTGTTTAATAAGGGGGGGGGGGGTATTATTCTTTGCTTGTCTTAACCTTCAAACCTACAAATTACATGAGTTTGTATAGGTTTTCTTGAAATAATTTTTTACCTAACTTTAACTCTCTTGGAGGATGCCTATATTTTTAATCTGGTTCAGATTTCAATGGAAGTCCTAATATAGTAGAATGCAAAAAAGAAAACGAAAAAACAAAACAATGAAAACTATGGAAATCAATACTGAGCGACGGTTTCCGCTCTAGCCTAACCTTTGTTCCCGCGGGCTGGTTATTGAAATTGATGAAAACAGCGATACACAAAGAAGACAAAGATAAGATGGAGCGTTCTTATTGATGAAAGCGGGTGGTCGCAATGAAAAAGGGAAGTAAGCATTAGAATAACTTATGGCGCTTATGGCAACCCATGAGAGCCTTTATATAGGCATAGTTAGTACATCATTTTCCCCCTTAGACTTTGAAAACTACCCGTTTCAACCGACAGGTTTGTTCCATTTTCTTATTGTCCTCTTACTCTATTGCTTTATTGTCTATCAATTTCAATAATCAACCAAGAGATGGGGTGCGGGAGGCGGGAAGTAAAATCAGCCGATTTATAGTCTTTAAATCTCTGAATAACACGTCTTTAGGGCAGAGCCTCTGGAGGAGTTTCGAGGTGACTATCTGAAATACTTGAGGGCGGTAACTGTGAGGAATTTCTCGATGAAGAGCTCGGAATCGAGAACGGCTATGTGGGCGGCGCGACCGATGAGGGAGTTGGCCGTGTTGGGTAGCGCGTGGTGGACGTCGTAGCGCAGGAACGTCACTTCAGGTTTCTTGATGATTGGTACCAAAATGTTATGTATCATCTCCCGGTATGCCGAGCCTGGAACGTTTAGTAACAAGTACAGTGTAAGTGCGACCGCCTTTTTTCAATTTTAAGCATTTTAAGTTGTATTTCCCGGGCGAATCGTTGAAAAATTTTTATATGTTACGTGCTATTTCCTAATTATTGGTTGGTCAGTTATTTACAGAAGTCAAAGATGAGTGTATAGTCAACCAGTGGATAGTGGACTAGCTGAACTTTGTGGCAAGTTGCACCAGCAAATACGCGGTTTTATACTTAAGGTTCAAAACCACTTATGTGC